TCCAGTCTGGATGACAGAGCAGAACCCTGTCTCAGAAAAAAAAAAAATAGGTAGGTACTCCTGTTACTGCTCTCAAAGCCTTCTTCACTGTAGAGGTTTTGACAACCTCCTCTTATCCCTCCTGGAGCCTTTGACCACATATGATGGCCATAAACTGCCTAAGGACTTCTGATGCAAGAAATTTCCCTCTTGGCCTCATGCTATACATTCTTAAACAATAAATGATGGCTACTTACTGGGCTTTCCTGGAAATACAGAGACACAGACCCTGAGCCTGTGCCCCTCCATACCCAGCTGCTCATAATGCTTTGGGTCATGGACACAGCACCCCACAAGCTGGGCATGGCTACTGAGGCCTCCCTAGATAGGATGGAACCAAACCTAGGTCCTCTGGTATGTTCCACCTACAGGAGGGGGTGATCTCCTCTGTCCTCCAGTCCAAAACACAAACCCCTAAAGGCCTGTATCTCAACTCAGGCCTTAACTTATCTTCATAAATGTTTGCTCTTGTCCCCGTCCCATAAGTGCTGGAGGCCAGATTAAGGGCTCATACTCCCTTGTGACCCATTAACCATGAATTTTCCCACAGGCTAAGCAGCTGCTGCACTGATCTGATATGGGACTTATTGGAACCTAAACTTCCACCAAAAAACAAATCAGAAACCTTGTCTCCCTTCATACACGACACTTTCTTCCATATCCTCAAATGGCAAAAGGAGCAAACAAGTTTGGGCCTCTTTTATGAGGACACTAATCCATTCATGAGAACTCCAGCCTCATGACTTAGTATCTCCTCAAAGGTCTCACCTCTTCATAGTATTAAACTGGGGATTTGGTTTCAACATATGAATTTGGTGGCAGGGGCAGGGGACAGACATTCACATCATAGCATGCCCTGAATCTTAAACAGCTTCAGCATCAACATAAACTGGCATTTATTCTTCCAAGTTCATATTCTAAAATGTGCTCTTGACCAGAAAAATCCCAACAGCAAAAATCACTGACTGTAAATACTGCATTATTTTAAATAGGAAAGGGACAGAAGGCAGCTAAGAACTAGTGGAAGGGAGTGGATTCAGTATTGCATGTAATGTTTTCCTTCTCCTTATTTCTCTCTCTCTCTCTGCCCCATTTTCTTTCTCAAGTGTCTGGCATAATATTTGTTTAAAACAGACTTGCTTATACCTGTGATTCTCTCTACCTCACACCCAATTTCTCCTTCTCAGTCTCTATTCCAGTGCCTCTAACCTTTCTGCTAACAATGCAATTCATGGTGTCACTAGAAAAGAGGTCTCGATCTAGACCCCAAGACAGGGTTCTTGGATCTGGTTCAGGAAGGAATTTAAGGTGAGTCATAGAGTGGAATGAAAGAAGCAAGTTTAGGCTGGGCAAGGTGGCTCACAACTGTAATCCCAGCACTTTGGAAGGCTGAGGCAGGCAGATCACAAGGTCAAGAGATTGAGACGATCCTGGCCAACATGATGAAACCCCATCTCTACTAAAAATACAAAAATTAGCTGGGCATGGCGCGTGCCTGTAGTCCCAGCTACTCAGGAGGCTGAGGCAGGAGAATCACTTGAACCTGGGAGGCAGAGGTTACAGTGAGCCGAGATCGCACCACTGCACTCCAACCTGGCAACAAAGGAAAGAAGCAAGTTTATTAGAAGCGACACCATTAGTGAGCAGCCCTCAGAAAGCAAGAGGGGGAATGCACTGGCTTTGTTTTAGGTTTTTCTTATATAGGGGTCTTATCTACGAAAAAACTAAGCTAAACTGTGTCTATGCGTAGGTGAGCAGGCACAATGACAAAATTTATTACTGTATTCATTTAAACTAGCCTTGACATTCTAGTGTGTAAATACATCAAAGCATAGCTATTATCTTGAAAGCATACATTGTTATGGGTATTGGGACATCTGGACTCTGCACTGTTGTAGGAGTGTCCCTGTAGGTATCTTCAGGCTGTTTCCTCAACTATAAACACCCCATGACTATGGCTCATGACCACCAAGGAATGTACTTTGCTAGTCTCAAAATGGAGCTGTACTTAAGACGACATTCTCTGGCTTTCCTAGACTACTGCTTTCCCTACAACGGAGCACTCACAAGTTAGGGCTTTAGAGCGTCACAGGAATGCTTTTTACGAGAAGGCCAGACATAGCTATTGAAACAAAAGGACTAGCCCTCCATTTAAAGTTCTTCTCACCTATGCCCTGAGTCACATCTAGTGCTTTAATGTTGGCTCTCTCTCTACTCATGAACTTAACTCATATTCCAAATATCTGAGGACTCACAACGGGAAGCCACCACAATTCTTCCAGGGAGCTCATGAGGAAAAGCAGCAACAATGAAGAATCTCTATGTAAGCTTTTCTGGATGGATTGAGCAGGGACTTTATGTCTTAAGTGTGGTTTAAAGTGGTTCCAGAGTGGTAGGGATCTTAGTTTTGTCTGAAAAAAAAAAGTATATAATCTCTAGAAGAGAAAGGCACTTTCATCTAAGGATATAGGGAAGCTCCCTGAAATCTCTTTTCAAGGACAAAGATAACCAACAAAAAAGGAAGCAACCAAACTGATTGAAGAATTTAAAAATGAACATCCAAAGGGCCCCATAAAATCTTCAGTTATTGCCATTATCAGATACATATTATGAAGCAACTATGCCTACCATGTTAAAAAATTCTTTTTGAAAAATTGAAATTAAAGTGTCCTGGAGAGACAATTATGAATGGGCAATAGATCGGAATAAATTATTCAGAATGCAACGCAGAGATTGAAGGATGGAAATTACAGAGAATTTAAGACACCTGGAGGATACAGAGTGGTAATACCTGCCTTATAATGAATTGGGGTTCTCAAGGGAGAGAAAGAATGGGCAAGAGACAATACATGAGAGAGGAAGTGTTTGCTGAGCACCGAAGATGGCACGTCACAGATTCAGGTTGTTCAGCAAATCCCAAGCAGGAAAGATTTTAAGAATTTCATAACCAGAAACATTATGCCAACCTCCAGAAAACACATTCAGTTACTACTTCAGTTGAAAGCTCAGGATTCTAAGTGGAAAGTAATCTTAATAACCTAGTCACTGCACTATCTCCTTAAAATCTCATTTTTTTCTATGTCTCCTGCATTTTAATACTAAAAAGGTCATCATTCCAAAAGAATATTAACCAAAAGACCTGCAGTTCTCAGAGAAGACAATACTAAGGCCAACAGACATTTGAAAAGACTGTCAATCTCGTTAAGAATTAAACAATGTAACTTTAAGCCACGAGTTATGATTTCACACCTAGTAAATTATCAAAATTTTAAAGTTTCACAAATCCAGTGTTGGCAGTAAGAGTTGGCAACCAAAATAACCATAAACTCTAGTGGGAGTGAAAATTGGTACAACTTTGGAAAACAATTCATCATTGTACAGTAAAGTCATAAATGGGAACATACTTTGCACAATCCAGTCTTTCCTTATTACATACTCTGAGCCTTGAGAGGAAGCCAGCTGATGCCACAATGTTTTTTAAAACTATGGCTGCTATAGGAACTCACCACCACATCCACAGGATACACCAAGGTAGAAGTGTCAGAGCCAGAGCGACTCCACCTTGAATGGGTCCTGGGTAAAACAAAGCTGAGACCTACTTCCCAGACAGTTAAGGCATTCTAAGTCACAGGATAACACTGGAGGTCCGCACAAGACACAGGTCATAAAAGTCTTGCTGGTTAAACAGGCTGCAGTAAAGAAGCTGGCCAAAACCCACCAAAATCAAGACAGCAAGGAGAGTGACCTTTGGTAGTTCTCACTGCTCATTATATGCTAATTATATGCATTAGCACGCTAAGAGACACTCCCACCAGGGCCATGGCAATTTACAAATGCCATGGTAAGGTTCAGAAGTTACCCTGTATGGTTTAAAAAGCGAGGAAGCCCTCAGCTCCGGGAAACTGCCACCTTTTTCCCAGAAAACTCGTGAATAAACCACCCCTTGTTTAGCATATCATCAAGAAATAACTACAAGTATCCTTATTCCAACAGCCCAAGCTGCTGCTCTGCCAGTGAAGTACCCATTCTTTTGTGTCTTTACCTTCTTAATAAACTTGCATTGGCTTTGCACTGTGGACGCCCACGGATTTTTCCTGCCTGAGATTTAAGAACCCTCTCTTGGAGTCTAGACTGGGACCCCTTTCTGGTAACAGAAGCACCGCTTCACGATCATGCAGGTCAGTACTTACCAAGTACTAAAAAGTCTGTAGCCACACTATAAGTTTTAAAATGAGTGAGGTCAATTAACATTTAATTTAAATGTTAAAAAGAAAGTATGCCGTGCGCGGTGGCTCACTCCTGTAATCCCTGCACTCTGGCAGGCCGAGGCGGGCGGATCATGAGGTCAGGAGATCGAGACTATCCTGCCTAACACGGTGAAACCCCGTCTCTACTAAAAAATACAAAAAATTAGCCGGGCATAGTGGCAGGCGCCTGTAGTCCCAGCTACTCGGGAGGCTGAGGCAGGAGAATGGCGTGAACCCGGGAGGCGGAGCTTGCAGTGAGCCGAGATCGTGCCACTGCACTCCAGCACTCCAGCCTGGGCGACAGAGCAAGACTCCGTCTCAAAAAAAAAAAAAAAGAAAGAAAGAAAGAAAGTAAACAAGTCAAATATACACAAACAGTAGACTGCTCTGGCTTGCATACAGAGAGGTCTATTGCCCTTTTGGGTGGGCCGGGCAAGGTCAGGGCCTAAGAAGCACTTCTGGGGAGAGGGGGCGACAGGCTCTGATGGCTGCAGGAGGAGTGACTCCTCCTAGGATGAGGGTCTCCATCCTCCCAGTGCTCACTCAAGTTCAGTATTTCCAAGTCCTCCCAGGGGACGTAACGCACGTCAGAACGGCCGTCATTAGTGTCACATATACGTGTCCGCATGCATTTCCAGGAAATGTCCTTGGCCGGCGAACTACAGTTGTGACAGTCGGGTCACAGAGCGTTTTGTGAGCTATCGTCTTGGGCAAATGAGTGCCAAAAACACAAAAGGACCTCAAAAGGTGGACAGCACAGCAGCAGGGTTTGGGATGAGAGAAGCCCCTTTGCTAGCACCGGCGAGCACTTGCGCAGTACCAGCAAGGGCTGCCTACGTCCCGGAGGGAAACGTTTGTGTGAGCAAATGAACGACCCGGAAGACCTTAGGGCGGCTGCAGAGTTTTCTGGAAAGTGTAATTTCTTGGTCCGGGCGCCACTGGGTGGCCCTCGGTTCCGAGGTGTATCATTCACCACAGGACTGTGTGCCCCAGAACACTTCGCGCGTGGTCCTAACTAGCCGGCACTGAGACGACAGCCCCAGGCAGTTTAGTTTCTTACCAAGCCAAGACCGGTTTGCCCGCAGCTGACCAGGTCCGCGCCGCCGCAGAGACTCTTGGGAAGTGTGGTCTTCCGGTGTTTGCGGTTCGCTGCACCCGGCACTTTTGTCCCGCACGCGGAGGATTCTAGAAAATGTGGCTTGGCCTTAGTCGGTGCACTGGGTCAGTCTCGCGATAGCCTCAGGCCTGGCGGGGACTCCCAGGCTGAGGAACGATTCTGGGCAGTGTCGTTCCCGGAGGTCGGCGGCCGTTGCCCGCTCACCAGCTACGCGGTGCGTCCTGTCTGCAGAGATGCGGGCTCGGGGCGCCTGCGGGGACGGTGAGGCCCCGTTGAGGACTCCGGCCAGTGCGAGTCCCGGGGGCGGCGGTGGGGCTCAGGCCCTGGGTCTGCCTCGTGGTGTGACCCTGGCCGGAGCCTGGGCTTTTCCTGGCCTTCGTGTCGTGCTGTGTAAACGCGAGGTGATGACGGCATCGACCTCTTGGCGCTGTTGTGAGAGCGAAGTGGGCGCCTGAGCAGACGCCAGCCACAGTTGTCTTTGGGTTATGTCGTCATGAAGTCGGTGCTTTGCAGTTGTGTAACCTTGAACAAATGGGTTCAGTATCTTGGAATTTTCAGTTTCGTCATCGTTTAAAAAGAGATCTGGAATAATGTGAATGCCCACCGTGCATTGGTCAAGATTGAACGAGCTGATAAAGTTACTACTGTTATTTTATGAGTCTTTTATGTGCAGAATAATTGATTTTCCTCTCAGGTGGCACCTGGTAAACGGTTAGCCCTTGTGGAGAAACACCCAGTTAGTTCCCAGGGAGAGATTGGGGCCCCGGAGAGTGATTACCAGTGTGCCTTTCCATTAAGGTGTGTCACAGGTGTCGCAACATAAGCCTGATTTTTCATAACTGCTTTTTCCTGCCTTTCTGTGCCCTCAGGACACTGCCCAACTCTAAGATAGCCTGGAAAGAGGACTCTGTTGGCTATTGGAAATTGCAGAGTAATGTCTCAAGTAAGTCGATGTGTCCCCAAATCTTCCTGAAACAACTTTATCAGTTTGCTTTGCTTCTCCTGCCTGTTCCAACCAAATCAAGTCCATTTAAGGGACTGGATCTATGGTTCCTTTCACTATAAGAAGGATGGAGCCCACCGGAGAGCTCCAAGGTATTGTCCTTCTCACCCAGTGGTCCTCTTTTCTACAGTTTTCTGCTAGATGTTCTAATCTTGCCAACATTTTTAAACTGTAATTCACGATGCAAGTTTGGAATGTAAGGTTATTTGCTTTATGGTTGTCAAAACCGTACCATGTGGTCTCAAGTCAAGAGATGTTTGCAGTCATCCTTGATTCTTCCCTTTCACTCATTGCTCATATTCAGGTCCTCTAGTTGGATATAAACAATACACTGTATACAGAATCTGACCATTCATTACCCTATCACCTCCACCACCACTACCACCCCAGTCCAAACACCTGGATTATTTTGGTAGCCTCCTAGCTGGATTCCTTGCATCTGCCCTTAACCCTCATCAGTCTGTTCTCAGTACAGCAGTCACCGTGATCCTATCCTTACATAAATTTCTGTCATTCCTTAACTTAAAATTTTTCAATGTCTCTAACTCAGAGTCACTTCTGCAATAACCTCTTTGCACAATTAGGCCATTACCTCTCTGATCCCACCTTCCTTCTCTGCCTCCTCATTCCTGTGAGCTCCAGCCACTGTCACCAGTTGCTGTGCCATCCACGTGGAATATTCTTCCCCGACATATGCATAAGCTTGCATTCTTACCTTCTTCATGTGTTTGTTCCATGGTTACTTTCACAGAAGAGCTTCCCTGAACGCCTATTTGCAATTGCAGTCACCTTCCCTCACCTAGCACTTCCACTCCTCCATCACTGCTTTGTTGTTTTCCACGGCACGTGTCACTCACTAACTGATGTACTTATGTTCATTTTATGCATGTGCTCATTGTCTGTTCCTGGTGGGCGGAAAGTTTTTTCTTTTTTGTTGTCTGTACCCAGAGTGATACCTGGCACCAGATAGATGCTTAGTAAGTAATTGTGGAGTGAATAAGATGAGTAATGAAGAACTGGTGGGGCAGAATCATGGCATGGAAGGTGAAGCTTGCGTAGGAGGGGATGTGAGTAGCAGATGTACATGTTGAGTGAAGTATATTTTCTTGGAAAAATTAGATAATTAGAATTGAAAAACTGGCATATTGATACATATCTGTTGTCCCAGCTACTCGGGAGGCTGATGAGGTGGGAAGATTGCTTGAGCTCAGGGGTGTGAGGCTGCAGTGAGCTATGATTATGTCACTGTACTCCAGTCTAGCAACACAGCAAGACCCTGTCTCTTAAAAAAAAAAAAAAAGGCTAAAGTGAACTAATGCCAAACCATTCATTGGTTCATCTTCTAAATGCTTATGAAGTACCTGTTAGGAAAAGTTGTACATGGATTTTGGTGTGCACTGACACACAGAACTTCATGATCTAGTGTAGTATTGTATAAGAGAACTTTCTGCAGTGGTGGAAGTGCTCTGCATGTGTACTGGTCAGTACAGTAACCACCAGCCCTGTATGACTGTTGAGTAATTGAACTGTAGCTTAAGCAACTGAGGAACTGAATTTTAAATTTTATTTATTTTATTTTTACATTTTAATTAATTTAAATGTAGGTAGCCAAATTGACTCGTGGCTCCTGTATTGAGGATTGCAGCACTGTAGAAAAGTAAGAAAGCATAAGCAATTTAAATAAGTGCTAGTACTCTTTAACTCTCGGAGCTAACAAATTACCACAGTAGATCAGTCTGTTTCACAAATCACAGACAGTAATAATGCTGTATTAAATGGATGTATTTTTTGCACATATTATAATTTGACTAGCCAATAAGCTATTATTGAATATTTAAGCTTCTAAAGTTTTACTATTTTAAATAATACTCTCGCCTGTAGAGAAATAAAACTCTCACCTCTAGAGAAAGCCCCACTGGGGACAGTTACAAATATGACACATTTAGAAGCACCTTTCATTCAAAGTCTACTCTTTCTGAACCACAAAAAAATTCTGCTGAAGGGAATTCACACAAATATGATATATTAAATGAAATGAGTACTACTGAGAGGAATTTCTAAGCACATCTGTGAGCATTTCCTTAGAATATTTTCTTTGAAATGTACCCTTTTATTTTTTTCCCCTTAGTTTCAGGTCCTAGTTAAGGACTGTCTGTGGCAGGGGTGCCCAACCCTTTTGGCACCAGGGATCAGTTTCATGGAAGACAGTTTTTCCACAGGAATGGGAGGTGGTGGTTTGGGCGTAAGCTGTTCCACCTCAGATCCTCAGACATTAGTCAGATTCTCATAAGGAGCGTGCAGCCTCAATCCCTTGCATGCGCAGTTCACAGTAGGGATTGTGCTCCTATGACTTCTCATAGTTTTGGAGCCTGGGAAGTCCAAGATCAAGGGGAAGGTGTCTGGCAAGGGCTGTGTTGCTGTGTCCTTTTATGGTGGATGGGCAAAGAGAAGAGAGAGAGGTAAAAGGGGCCTCGGACTAATTTTTTAAATAAGGAACCCACTCCTACGATGATGACATTAATCCACTGATGAGGACAGAGCCCTCAAGGCCTAATCGTCTCCTAAAGATCTCACCTCTCAATACTGTTTGAACAGCGATTAAGTTCAATACATGCTTTTTGGGAGACACAATCAAACCGTAAATTTCTGTAGAACATTTCAAACCAGCAACTCTCACCTCTAGAGAAAGCCCCACTGGGGACAGTTACAAATATGACACATTTAGAAGCACCTTTCATTCAAAGTCTACTCTTTCTGAACCACAAAAAAATTCTGCTGAAGGGAATTCACACAAATATGATATATTAAAGAAGAATTTACCAAAATGTATATTAATGTCTATCAGTCTTTAATATAAAGATCTTTTTTCTGAACCCATTTTTTGTGAGCCTTAGTGGATCATCCTGAGTATCTTGTTTGAGAGACAGTCGCTGTAGCCTCACTTTTTAATTACTTACCTAGTACTTAAACTATAAAAGATATAACCAAATACTTGACTGTATGCTGTCTAATGTTAAATGTTGATTTTTAAAAATTCATGTAATTCTATAACTTTTAACAAAAAATTCTACTGAAGCAAAGCTCTCATATTTCTCACCCTTATTGTATAATAATCCTAAGCACATAACTGTCCCCCTTATTATGTAAGAATTCCATCTACATAACTGTCCTATTATTACTTAACTAAGATCACATTCCCAATTTTTGTCACAACTCCTGAATCTTGTTCCATTTCTTCCACAAGCAGGCTAATTTTACCCCTTCATCAGTGACAGAAGAGGTCTGGGCTATGGCTGAGCCTAAATATATTTGCTATTTCAGGTGACATTTAGTGATGTGGCTATAGACTTCTCTCATGAAGAGTGGGGATGACGCCATTCTGCTCAGAGGGACTTATACAAGGATGTGATGGTCCAGAATTACAAGAACCTGGTGTCTGTAAGTAAGGATATTACCCCATCCACTCCAATAGGGGCTCTTTTGCCACTCTGAATTGCTGAAGAGCCTCCTAAGTAAATGGCTGAATTTCCGTACCATGTTCCCAAGGAAATGTGCAGCTCTGTTGTGCCCTCCCTGAAGCTTATCTTTCCATTTCAGTGAATACCCTTTATCCCTTCTTGTGGTCCCTCTTGTGATGGCCTCTCATAATAGAGGACCACAGCTTAAACAATTCTATATTCTTCCTGTAAGCAGGTCTTTCCGTAACTAAGCCATATGTGATCACAGTGTTGGAGGATGGGAGAGAGCCCTGGATGGTGGAGAAAAAACTGTCAAAAGGTATGATTCCAGGTGAGTCATGGTGAACGAGACTAAGGAAGATTTTGTTAAAGATGTTTATAGTGAGTGTGGAGGCATTTTAGGAATACTATCTCCAAATATCTCAAATATAAATGAAAAATATAAAACGAAATATTTAGCTTAGATTTTCAAAATAATTGTTTCTGTATCCCAAATTATTATCTGTATCACTCATATCACCTAATCAAGTTTAGAGGTTTTTGCCATCATAATAATTCAAATTGTTACTCTATTCATGACAAAGTAAGGCAAATTATTCTTTCTTAAATCTACATAAGGAAAAACATACTGATACTTTTAGCTAAGAAAAGCTGTCATTTAGAGGGAAAATCACTTTTCTAAAGCTGAGCTTTGTAGATGAAATATGAACATATTAGAGGAAGTAAGGAACATATAAAATATGTTCCTAGGAATAATATTTTCTAATGTCTAATAAGTGATATGATTCACAGTTTCTTCATAACCTCAGAAGGCCTAAATGTTTGTCAGCTATAAAGAGCACTTAGATTATTTTGTTTTTACTGCAGCTGTTTAATGTAGTAGTATCAATTCGGTATTTTAAGTGTGTTAATCTGGCAGCAAATTGAGATTAATGGAAGGTTGGAGAAAAAGGCTATGAGACAAAATGCAGTCTTTCACATGTGAATATGGGCACAAAGAGATGACTTGGAATCCAGAATGCCTTCCACATTTTATTTCTGATAGTTTCGTTTTTTTCACATACTGTTTTATCTATTACGTATATTTTACCCATTTCTGTTATCACTCCTCCTTCTTCTGTGAACTTTGTATTCTCTGCTTCATTTGAGCATTGTTCAGAAATCATTGAAATATTTGAGTTGTCTGAACTATGTGTTTTCTGGGGACTTCATTTCTTATCCATTTCTCCTAATTCCACCATAGAAGTGTCTTTTCAAGAAGTAAAAAAAAGAAAAAGCAGTGCTGTGCTTTCTTGATGTATTTCAGATTGGGAATCAAGATGGGAAAACAAGGAATTATCAACAAAGAAGGATATTTATGAGGAAGATTCACTCCAAACAGTAACAGTAGAAAATGTTTTAAAACAAAATTATGAATTTTCAAATTCTAATAAGAATTTGCAATATATAGAGAAGTTGGAAGGGAAGCATGAAATTTATGTAGAACATTTCAGACCAGCAACTCTCACCTCTAGAGAGGGCCCCACTGGGGACAGTTATAAATATGACACATTTAGAAACACCTTTCATTCAAAGTCTACTCTTTCTGAACCACAAAAAAATTTTGCTGAAGGGAATTCACACAAATATGATATATTAAAGAAGAATTTACCCAAAAAGTCAGTTATAAAAAATGAGAGACTCAATGGTGGAAAGAAACTTTTGAATTCTAATGAAAGTGGAGCAGCCTTTAACCAGAGCAAATCTCCTCACCAGACTTGTAATAGAGAGAAAATCTATACATGCAGTGAATGTGGGAAAGCCTTTGGCAAACAGTCAATCCTCAGTCGCCACTGGAAAATTCATACAGGAGAGAAGCCCTATGAATGTCGTGAATGTGGGAGGACTTTTAGCCATGGCTCATCCCTTAAACGACATCAGATAAATCATAGTGGAGAGAAACCTTACAAATGCATTGAATGTAGGAAGGCCTTTAGCCATGGCTCATCACTTACTAACCATCAGAGCACTCACACTGGAGAGAAACCATATGAATGTTTGAATTGTGGAAAGTCTTTTAGTCGTGTGTCCCTTCTTGTTCAACATCTAAAAATTCATATGCAAGAAAAAACGCTATGAGTAAAAAAAAAAAAGAAAAAAAACCACTATGAGTGTCGTATACATGGAAAGGCCTTCATTCATAGGTCATCTCTCATTCACCATCAGAAAAGCCTTATGAATATAGAGAATGTGGGAAAGCTTTTTGCTGTAGCTCACACCTTACTCAACATCAAATAATTCACACTATGGAGAAACAATATGAATGCAATAAATACCTGAAAGTCTTTAGTAGCCTGTCATTTCTTGTTCAACAGAGTATTCATACTGAAGAAAATCCCTTTGAAGTTTAGAAATGCAGGAAATCCTTCAGCCAGCTTGAATCACTGAATATGCATCTGAGAAATCACATTAGATTGAAACCCTACGAATGCAGTATATGTGGGAAAGCCTTCAGTCATAGGTCATCCCTGCTTCAACATCACAGAATTCATACTGGAGAGAAAACTTACGAATGTATTAAATGTGGGAAGACCTTCAGCTGTAGTTCAAACCTTACTGTACATCAGAGAATTCACATTGGAGAAAAGCCATATAAATGTAATGAGTGTGGGAAAGCTTTTAGCAAAGGCTGAAATCTTACTGCCCATCAAAGTACATAATGGAGAGAAACCCAGTAGTGTGGTAAGTGTGGAAAAGCCTCTAGACCATATGAATCACTGTACATGTGAGAAACCTTACACAAGAGAATGTGTATGAAGCAGCGTTTAGCATGGTAAACTTCGTTCATAGATCCTCATTTAACATCAGAAAAATTTATACTAGGGAAAAGTCTTATGAATGTAGGGAATATGGGAAGACTTTCAGCAATGATGTAGACATTTTTATTTATCAGAGTTTTTACTGTAGAGAAATCACATGAAGACCATAAATGTGGGAAAGCCTTTGTCAGTATTAATCCCTTAATTGACATAAGTATACTCATACTAGGATAAAACCCTGTACATGTAGCAAACATGGGAAAGACTAACTAAAGGCAATAAGAATCTCCAACAAACTCCTACAGGAGAGACACTGTATGAATGTAGAAAATTTAAAAATTGAGGGAAGACTTCAGTTCCAAGTGCATCACTTATTTTACAAAGAACTCAAACTGGAGAGAAATCTCATTTAAGAGATGTAGCAAAGTGTTCACTAGGAGTGTTTATCTTGCTACCCATCAGAAGATTAATGGTAGAACAACCTGAAAGATTTAGGAATCACGTGTAAATCTTTGCAGTGATGCTATTTGTAAACAGGATTCTACAGGAGAGCAAATAAACATAATTACGCATTTCTTAGGGCAGTAGCTTGTAGTTTTAAGTTCTACTTAGAAATTATTTTTAACTAGTGTGCATGTGAAGATATTTAGTCACCCAAAGGAGCCAGTAAATGTTATAATGTTAAAAATTAAAGCTGCAAAAGAAATATAATGGTGTGAATAAAGGTTTTAGTATCTAATAAAATCATTTTGTATATCATGAACTCTTTCTCTGTGACTATTACTGGCAAAAAACCTTCACTAAGATTAGCCTTAGTATAGCCTTTAGTGGGAGACAAGCAAACCTAGAGAAAAATGCCTGCTCTTTATACTAAGAATAGCAGTATTTTGGTGAGGATTATTCAGAGTCCATTTCCGTGGGCTTAATACATTTCAAGAAAATGTACTGAGCATCACTCATGTATATTACACAGCGATGGGATATAGGAATCTGGTCATTCTGAGCTTTAGTGGTATGTCAGAATCGTTAGGAAGGCTTGTTAAAGCACAGATTGCTAAGTCTCAATTCTAGTTTCTGTATGAGTTGATTTGAATTTGCATTTTTCACACGTTCTTAGGTGACACTAACACTGTTTTGTCCAGAAAGCACATTTTGATAACCATTGTAATAATTAACAAATGTGGTCTTTTTCTCACAGAGACATTATCTGACAAGAGAAATGGATAGCAAATAAACTTGAAATAATCGTTTACAAGTGCTATGAGAACATAACCAAGAAACAACATACTATAAGAGATCGGAGCAGGCTTAGTGAGATGTGATTTTTTGAAATGAATCCTAAATGATGAACACTAATTATGTAATGAGTACTACTCATGTAGCTGTGTGCATCCCTGCATGTGCCTGTGCGTGTGTGTATGTGGTGTGCTGCGTGTTATTCTAGGTAAAGCAGTCGAGTTCTATCATGCTTGCTGCAGCTGGATTCCATGTTCCCATGTCTAGTTTCAGATTCTGTGACTTTGAGGTAGCACTGTTGGCAGCATCATTGGTTTCAGCAACTGTCATTTCTCTATCTCTGGGTCATCATTATGGGAGTTTACCTTGAAATCACTAGTCCAGAAGTGTCCTCATTGCTTTTACAGCCCACCTACCAATTTCAAAAGCCCTAATTTACTGCAATATATGTCTTGAAATAGTTAAGAGAGTTTTTGTTCTCTGCACTGAACCTTGACAGATAATTATGGTTTGTAAGGAGGGAGGATGGCTTCAAATATTCTAAGTTCTAGATAAGAAATGGAACAGTCTCACTGGCCCTGTGATTAGAATCCTATCTTGTGATGAGAAAGGTAATGCAGATCAATTTGATTTGGAGTGTATGGACACTGATGCAAGGGAAGGGCTGTGATATGGATTATGCTTCAGATTTTGTTCACTATGGCAGGTGAGAATCATAAGATATGTTATTATTTTAAAAAGGAACATTATGTTATACATACAAGAATTCTGGTGTGAAATGAGTGATAAGGTTTCTGACTGTCAACAAAATGTATCTCTTCTGATACATGTACTACCTTAACTGAAAGCTAAAAGCATAGAGGCATATTCCAATAGCACTTTGGAATAGAGACAGTAGGTTTGGAATGGGGTGGTAAATTTTTACTATTCTGCAGGGATTTTATCTTTCATTTGATTTAATTTAATTTTATTTAATTTAATTTAATTTTATTTTTTTAGGCGGAGTCTCGCTCTGCCGCCCAGGTTGGAGTGCAGTGGCCGGATCTCAGCTCACTGCAAGCTCCACCTCCTGGGTTCACGCCATTCTCCGGCCTCAGCCTCCCGAGTAGCTGGGACTACAGGCGCCCGCCACCTCGCCCGGCTAGTTTTTTGTATTTTTAGTAGAGACGGGGTTTCACCGTGTTAGCCAGGATGGTCTCGATCTCCTGACCTCGTGATCCGCCCGTCTCGGCCTCCCAAAGTGCTGGGATTACAGGCTTGAGCCACCGCGCCCGGCCTGATTTAATTTTAATAATGAAATTCATATTGAAATTCTATGAAACATTGCGAGATCTTAGATTTAAGGAAGGGCCAGGTGCAATGGGACATATCTGTAATCCCAGAGCTTTGGGAGGCTGGGGCAGGAGGATTGCTTGAAGCCAGGAGTTCGAGACCAGCCTGGGCAACATAGCAAGATTCAGTCTCTAAAAATATATATATTTTTAATTACCCAGGGGTAGGCATACGCCTGCAGTCCTAGCTATTCAGAAGGCTGAGTGGGGAGGGATTGCTTGAGTACAGGAGTTTAAGGTCACAGTGAGCCATCATCACACCACTGCTTTCCAGCCTGGCAGCAGAACAACACTCTGATTCCAAAGTAAATATAATTAAGGAAGTATGATGTAGTATCAAACAGTTGTAATTATGGATAGTCTACCTACCACATATATACTTATGGGATAATGACAGTAGCTTTCTTTTCTCTCATTCTCTGTCCTTCCTCTGCTCTCCCAAGGAACTGGTACCACAAAGATGAAGTAGTCCTATAATGCCCAGATTTTATTTGTTTCCACTACATATAGTTTTATGCCACCATGTCATTTTGTTATGAGAGGATTCGTCGAAATTCCTGTGCTTTGTCATTTAAAAAGCATGAGCATACACGTGATAATGCTTTACCTTTCTCGATTTAAAGTGCCTTCACAATAACAGAATTAGGAAAAAGAAGGCCTTTTTTTTTTTTTTTTTGAGACGGAGTTTCACTCTTGTTGCCCAAGCTGGAGTGCAATGGCACGATCTTGGCTCACTGCAACCTCCGCCTCTCAGGTTCAAGCAATTCTCCTGCCTCAGCTTCCCGAGTAATTGGGATTACAGGCACGTGCCACCACACCCAGCTAATTTTTTGTATTTTTAGTAGAGACAGAGTTTCACCATGTTGGCCAGGCTGGTCTCAAACTCCTGACCTCAGGTGATCTGCCCGCTTCGGCCTCCCAAAGTGCTAGAATTACAGGTGTGAGCCACCACACCCAGCCAGAAGGCCATATTTTTAAATAAAGAAGCTTTTAAGAGCAATAAGAGACCATTACTTTGTTATGATAGAAGATTGGGCTGATGTCATAATGATGTTATGATGTCACTGACATCATGTTTTTCCTCATTCATACCTATTAACTATTTCTTGAGCATCCACTGGAGTGCACTGGCGCGATCTCGGCTCACTGCAAGCTCCGCCTGCCGGGTTCACGCCATTCCACATGTCTTCTCTTGATTTGCGAGGCCATCAGCAACTCCTGCGATTGCCTCAGTTCCTGGTACCAAATTTAAATGGACTTTTGATGCTTTGAAAATTTGTTCTTGTAATTTGGAAATGTCTAAAGTGAGATTATCTTCTCTTCCCTGTAGATGGCGTCTAACCATGTTCCAGTGATGTTCAGACTCATTATAAACTCAGGGTGTAATACAAAAATCTGACGTATTCCAGTCACACTGTAACTGGAAATGATGTTCTAAGCTCATGAGCCTATCTCCCATCCAAATGACAGTTTGTCTAAGATCATTAATTTGATTTGCCAATTTTTGATCAATACCAGATTGTGAATTCCACAGTCTTGTAGAATTCTTTTGCCAATCGTTAACAAAGTTTACCGTCTGAACAGAAGAGTGCAATGCAACTCCTGCCACAGCGGCCATAGCTGTGACTGCAATTAATCCCATAATCACTGCAATTAAAGTAAAAATGAATCTTTTGGAGCTATTTAAAATGACTTTTAATACCTCAGTCAAAATATGGACAGAGAGCGAGGCCTCCCACGGTCAGTCCATGGACCCAGGGATCCACACGTCTTCTCTTGCTCTCACTAGCAGAATACGGTGCTGCCAATTAAAAGTCAAATCAATGCAAGTAAACAATCTGCAATGGTCACAGGTTATAGTTTGGGAGTCTGGTTTAATAACTATATTTCCTACAACTAGCATGTAAGAGGGCTTTACACAACTTTGTAAAGGAACTGTAAGACTGGAATTTAGGTCAATAGTATAAAATGGCTTACGATCTCTTGTTTCTATAGTTCAATTTCCAGACCAAATTCTAATGCGGTATGAGGCTATAGTAAGCCTCCATAATTCTGGATGTTCAGGACCAGAAACAGGACTTATTATTTTTGGTCTTGGAGTAGAGATTCCTTTTTCTCCCCATTCCTAAAGGTAGAAAGACTGTAATTTTTTGTGCTTACGTTTATCTAAACTTTCTGTTAAGTCACTATCAACAGCTGGACTCACTTGTGCACTGGGACACGGTTGAGTTTGTCCTGTGCAATTGTGGTGGAACTGACCTCAAGGTGCTCAATCTATAATAGTTCTGAATTCATTGTTTTGTAATA